TGAATCCCATATTTGAAAGAATGCAGTTAGCGAAACATATCGATTAAAAAATTGCAAAGAAATTTCTCATAATCCTTTCATTTGCCACGGCAAAGTTGCGATACGAAAACATGGCGGTAATTCTGCTTTCTTCTCGCAGCACCGCGCGATTGCATTCGTTTCTGGATGGAATTATTAACGCCCCGTGTTGCACGAACGATAAGACCACGTAGATTGTATCATTTCCCAAGTTTTAAATCTATATTCTTCGTTCTATCTAACGTCTGAATCCCATATTTGGAGAAACGCAAATTTTTCAACGTGCCTTTCATTTCTCGACCCGTTGAAATTACAGTGCTCGGCGAAATACGATAATAACGCAATTTTTAGCGTAGCTGCTGCGATGCAGTTGGTAAAATATGTGTATCGAGAAATTGAAAAGAAATTTCCCATAACCCTTTCATTTGCCACGGCAAAATTGCGATACGAACGCAAACATGGCGGTAATTCTGGTTTCTGCTGGCAGCATCGCGCAGCTGCACACCCCAGCTGACCGGGTCCGACCAATCTCTTTCATAACACCCTTAGCGAGCCGTTGGAGCGCGATTTAATCTCTTGCCGGTGAATCGAATGAATTCATCCTCGTCGAAATTAACATTCCCCGAGGAGGATCCACGGCGGGGTCCTACGGGCACGAGCGTAGACGCGCGCTTTTCTCTCCGGGGCATAAGAAAATCGGCTCGAGCTGTCGTCCCGTAAACGTTCCCTGGATCGAGTTAACCGTCTGATTACTCGAGGGCGCCGCGGACGGCGCCTTACCCTCCTCGCGGCCCCCCGGGCCGACCTTGGAAAATGGGCGTTTGCAATTTAACGGAATCTCTGCATATAGAGTGGCCTCATCGTCGCGGTTCTGTACTTTAAATGACGTCCCGGAAGTCCCTGTACTAATTCTATGGGTCTTCCAATGCTCACGCCCTTTCGTCCATCCTGAAGGGTGAACGCGAGACAAGGGCCAGTTATACAGGGGGCGGCTTGCTATAATTGCGCCCCCGACCTCTTTCTCGCTGGACAAGGCGGACCTGAAAGACGCGAGGAACGCGCGTCCTCCGAGGCTTCGCGGATTCGGTGGATTTGATCAATTATGAAGGAATGCACCGAGGTAGGGAGTTTTGTGTGCACGCAAAGACGTATTCTGTTGCCTGTTCGCGAAGGAATCCTCGGGGTCTTGGGTCTGTTAAAGGGGAAGCGTTTAACGCGTTCACTGCCGCGCGCATTTTACGTGGTTTGCCCATGGGACTAGTTTGCAACGGCGGAAAATAAGAATAACTAAGTCTCTGTACGAGATACTTGCGAGTAAATGGATAAACTAATAAGAATATTTATTTAACACTATAACAGCACAACGTAAATTATAACTAAATCTCGTTAAATAAATTCGCTTCTAACTGCGATATAATCTCTCGAGGATTCTCTCACACACAACGTCCATTTGTAATGACTGTCATTGCTTTTTCGCGACTCTCTGTCAAACTCGTCATATACACATTCTTCCACACAAAAATTCCTCACACTCATACCACACATTCTATGACAACCACGTAGAGTAGGTATACTGCAAAAGAAGTGACACGTATTTAGAATTTGAGAAAAATTGACTTTATTTAGGTTTTGGGATATATATATTCTCGTTAAAGAAGTGACACGTATTTAGAATTTGAGAAAAATTGACTTTATTTAGGTTTTGGGATATATATTCTCGCTATCTTATGCTAGGTGGTTTGGAAGGGGTTGTATCGTGGAGTTTGGAGGTTTGGTCATCGGGTGGTGATTCGTGTTGGCTGTCGTCACAGGGTTGCGTCTTGGAATTTCGAACTGTAGTCATCTGGTGATTCATGTTGGAGTTTGAAGTTTTTTTTACTTATCTTTCCTTACATATTACGTTGAAATATTATTTACAGCAGATAAGTTGTATAATCGCGTTTAATGTATTTTTCGCGGTAGATCATCGGTGGCCCCCATGGCGCTCTAGCCACCCACCGGTGACCCCCACGGCAGTCAACGTGTTAAACGTGATTCGTGTAGTGCCCGTGAAAAATTGGAGTCGAGGAAAAATTGGTAATCCTGTAACATTATTAATGCGAGAGTGGACGATGCTGGTCGTGGATGGAGATAGGCGTGGGTGTTTAAATTCGAAATTTTTACGAAGGCTATAAAGAAGTGGAAACATTAATCTGCCAACCGGCGTCGGGGCAAAAAATATTTTACCAAAGGTTTAATAGGTTGCGCAGTAAAGAATCGAAGGTTTCGGGGAAATTCGGAAACGGAACGAAGGGAAATATACAACCCCGTGGAGCCGGGCAAAAATTACAACGAGGGTTGGCCCGAGCCTTAAATCTTTTCTTGTTTGTTCTGGCCTTGCCGGCTCATAATTATTCACGGCGTAGTATGCGCGATAAATCCAGGGGAAACCAATACTTTCCCGATAATGTCAACCATGGTCATTCTGGAAACCCTTTAATACAGATTTACAAGTATACGCGAGTCGGCAAGGAAATCCACCCTTGCCTGTTTATATAGGGTGTATTACGAATTAATCCTCAAACGTGCCCGCGTATTTCTGCAATTTAATTCCGTTTTGTATCCAAATATTTTTCAATCTCGCGGGAAAAGCGATAACGAAGCGTCTCCTATTTCGAATAAAAATCCACGAAAAGCTGTTCCGAATATTCAAAAGAAACACTCAACGACGGGAACGTACGTTTTCCCTGCAGCAATAATCGCAGAAGTAAAGGAATGGTTTAAAATCGCTTATTCGTTAACTAACAGCTTCGTGTGTTACGATATTTCCAATTTCCACGTTGTTCCTATCTCGTAAAAGCTCGCGCCAGACTTTCCACTCTAACTACCCGAAGAAATAAAGCATGAAAGAGAGGGAAAAAGAACGCCGAAACATTTTATTCCTAGCGGAAGCAGCGAAACGATGTCCTCGACGCACGGCACACCCGGTATAATTTCGTCGGTTCGCGACAAACAATAGCCAAGCGTGCTCGTGGAGCAGTGAAACGTGGACTCGAGCGCGCAGGGGCTGGAAAGGGTGAATTGCAGCTACGTGCACCCGCATACGAATCATCCCTTCGCGTGGACCGGCGCGCGAGCGCGAAACGTCGTTGGCTGGCTCGAGGACCCCTGAAACCGTCGGCGTCGCCTCGAATCTAATGGATCGCACCGATACTTATGGTCAAATCGCGACCAACAGCCCTCGCAGGCCAACGCCGCTCATTAGCATTCCGCTCGAGCACGGCGGAACGAGCGCTTTTGATAATCGGAAATACCCGGTCGAAGACGTAAATTAGGCGTCGGGGTGGCGTAGTCGTTATTATTGCACCGAACTGGGGTTACCGGGGCGAAAAGTGAATAGGGCTGGTGCCTCGAGACCTTGAGGACAGCTGGTTTTACGATTCGAACGTGACTTCTCCGATGTTCTTTACTTACCGCAGCTTTTCAACCAATAGACTTCAGACGCGCGTCAACTTTGCGTAGTTGGAAAAATTGGACATTTTTCCTACAGTCGCATAATTACAATTACGAATTCGAGGTCAATTTTCTATAGCTATTGTTGGAACCCGGATTTCAATATACAGCACGGGTTCTAGCGACAAGGGTACGTTGGAAAAGCACAAGTCGGCAGAGAGGAAAAAACAAAGCAGAAATTGAAACTGGAACTGGAACTGTACTGAAACTGTGATGAAAATTGTCCTTTCGCAAATTTCGTGGGCGCTTATATAATGTTAGTTTTTGGGGGGTGAAGATGATCCCTTAGTGAAAGTGGGAATGAGTCAATTGTTTTTGGACTCTGAAATAGGTCTGCGTTTATCAGCCAGGTCCTTCTAGTGACTAAGGGCCAACGAATCGTTAGTCATCCGACACTATTCTTGTCGCGGTGATCGACTTTACGACAGGTATCGAAATTTCGATACTTCATCTTCGTGAAAAATCTCGATCGATTATATTTATTCGTTAGAATTCTCGTGGAATAAATTTCCTATTCCTCTTGTAACTGACGACGGTACTACGGAGGATTCGCAAAATCCGCGACCATGTTTTCTGGAATTACCAGGCAGAGTCGTATCTGTCCCCTTAACGGCGACAAACGCGAAGTCAAAAATGGTTTCTTAAGCCGAACACGAACCAAAGTTGCACGAATTGCGGAACGTTATCTGAGGGAACGGTTGCCCGGCGATCGGTTCCCGAATCGCGCATAGATCGGAAGCTTACGGTCGACCGTTTCTCAATTAACTTTCGCGGCCACAAACGCAACGGAACTGGAAACTTTCCCTCAGCAGGATATCCTTTCCCCCGTAATTCCTGTTGCTCGAGTTTTAAGCTGCCTTAACAGGGGCTTAAAGTTCCTCGAGAGATCGCGCTGTACGTGTACTTAGAGATTACGAGCACGCGGATGGCCGATTCGGCTTTCAGCCGAAACCGAGAAATACCGGTTCAACCTGCTTTCCGTGAGGTACGCGATTTTTTCCTCTTCTCTCTTTTTTTATTTCTCTCTTTTTTCCTTTTTTTAAGAGGAAAAGCACGACGTTACTGAGTTCGTTAAATATTTCTGTAACTCTGCAACTTTCCTGCTTTTTTTCCTGAATATATCAACGTCGAGTGTACAGAAGGGTGCATAATGCGGACGTTGCGACTCGCAGGGGTAGCATAATTTTAGGAATTTTAGAATTTTCTACCATCGATGTCGGTGATATACTAGCAATTTAACAATTTCTCGTTTAATTCCAATTATTATTATCAAAAGTCCCGAAATATTGAAAGAAATACTTAAAATATCGAAATATCCAAATTTTGGAATTTCGAGAGATAAAACACTCAGACACCAGAGTTCCAGAATACCCAAACATTTGATACTCCTGGCAGAGTACTTTTCCAACAGTGCGATAAATTGTTTCAACGTTTGCATTGCACCCACACCACCGAACCGTTCATTCACCGATACTTTTCTCTCTTTTCAGGAGAGCCTGGAAGAGCGAGTGCAAGAATTGGAACAGGCCTTGCAAGCGGAGCGTCTGGCGGCTCAACGAGATCGAGCGACCATCACGAAGCTGCAACGACAAATCAACAAGGTGAGTGAAACGAATGCAACTCTGATTTCATTTACTCGTTCCGTGTAATCGATAATTACACGCGAACGTTATCGAGCATCACTCGCGCGCGTCGTTCAGCTGAACCTCGATTCGTCGTAATCTCGATCGGATAAAGTTGCGAAGAATTCGTTTCGAAGAATCGTAGCGAAGATCGGATTTATAAGTCGAAACGAGCTCTTGATTTTGGTTATACTTTATATCTCTTCGCGGTACCAAATATACATGTTGGGGAAGATATGTAAAAGAAGGTTAAGAGTGGTCGGGACACAGTTCTTGATGTTGAGTTCTTTGTGGACAGTTCGGTGTAGACAGTTTTAGTTGCAAGTGGTTAGTTGTTGCAAACTGAGTTATGTGGTAAAGATCGGATTTATAGAGATTGAACTTTTAACTTTGATTATATTTTATTTCCTCGCGGTACAAATGCGCGGAGGCTTGAGTCTTCTGAGATGCGTGATGCAGACGGTGGGTTGTCAAAAAGTGTCCCCTGGAACCCTTCACCCAGGTTCTTATAGACAATATGACAACCCATTGCGTCACTGAGTCCTGCGTCGAAAATTAATAAACTCGATGGTTCCTCGAAACAAACATAGATTCCGATGCAGGGTGACGCCATCCAAATGAAGACTCCTCTAACAGAATATTCCCTCGAATTAACCCTTTGCACTCGAGAGGCGCCATTCAGTCGCCATGAGAGCCGTCATAATGTAACAGTGTACGAGGTATTAAAATTAAATAATTCTACTTGTTAATTATTATACGATTTCTTATTTACTGCGGAAGAAATATCATCAGTCTTACAGCAGAGAATTGTTCAACTCGTACCCTTCTTCAGTCAAAAAATCGTCGAGCGCGAAGGGTTAATATTCGTTCCTCCAAGAAGAAGTCGATCGATCGCACGTTCGAAGGTGAAAAAAATATTTTTGAAAAATAATACAGCGTAAATAAGCTCGATGGTTCCTCGAAACAAACATAGGTCCCGATACAGGGTGACGCCATCCAAATGAAGACTCCTCTAACAGAATATTCCCTCGAATTAACCCTTTGCACTCGAGAGGCGCCATTCAGTCGCCATGAGAGCCGTCATAATGTAACAGTGTACGAGGTATTAAAATTAAATAATTCTACTTGTTAATTATTATACGATTTCTTATTTACTGCGGAAGAAATATCATCAGTCTTACAGCAGAGAATTGTTCAACTCGTACCCTTCTTCAGTCAAAAAATCGTCGAGCGCGAAGGGTTAATATTCGTTCCTCCAAGAAGAAGTCGATCGATCGCACGTTCGAAGGTGGAAAAAATATTTTTGAAAAATAATACAGCGTAAATAAGGAAGCAGGAAAATGGGAAAGACGAGAGAGGGATTATTTGCTCGCGCGCGATGCACTTGACGCCGTCTGGCGAGTTGGTATCAGATAACAGGATCCCCCGTAATCTCAGCCAGCGTTCGCCTAACTGTAATCGTACGTCTCTCCTTTCTCGCGATTTATTCCGCGTTGTGTCATTTCGATGTCGCCTTCCAACGCCTGTAATCGCTTCCGTCTGGGTTATGCGGCCTACGGCCTCGCGGAATCCGTTGAATTATCTCGCGCCGTTTCGCGGATTATCCGCGAGACCAGTTATTTCGCGATACGCGAGAATCTAACTGCAATTGGAACGTATTAGCTAATTTACGACCACGTTACGGCTGGATTCCGGCGTGCAACTTTTTCGCGGATTAAAAATCCATTGATATACGCGCTTCCACTCGTGCAAAAGGTAATTCTTTCCGCGAGAGATAATGGCGACTCTTAGAAGAATTCATCCGAATTCGTGACTAGAGATACGAAATTCGAAGCTGGATTAACGCTTTCGGTATGGAGGAGCTGGCCCCGGTTATACATTCGTGGTACGAGGAAGTTTCCCACAAGAGTGATTGCACAGGAAGCCACGAAATCGTGTTTTACGGTATTCATAGAAATTTCGAGCGTGATTGACACTAAACTTTTCATTCGGATCGCGATAGTCGTCGGTGACGTTTCGCGAATACCGTGAATAGGCGACGGTGGTACCCAGAGAACGTTTCATGGCCGCCGCCAATGGGCAGTAGTAGCACCGAAAGGGTTAACACGTCGAGTCCGGCGTCGGTCCCCAAGGTCCCCAGTTCGGCGCTAGACTTTCTATTCGGGCCCAGCCGTTCCTCACGGATCGGCCCAGTTTATGATCAAAAGGTGCTAACTTTTGGTGTTAAATTCTTCGCCATCTTTGGACCCAACGTTTGAGTCCAAAAAATTCCTGTTATAACAATTGGTACAGTATCTCCGAGATTTATAAACACTTCATCCGCTGCCGGTGGCCCGTTTGACGACCCAGTCTGGGCCTGAACGGAACGCAAACAAAACGAGTTGGGCACTTAACGTGTTAACGTGTTATCTCTGGGGACCGACAGTGAACTTTTCGTTTAAACAGCGTTTCGTTTCGTCCGTGAGACCGACAGTGTTCTAAGGAGAGGGGAAGAGAGAGAGGATAATGTAACACGTTAAACGTCATGCAGTTAGTCGTCATGCGGGCCCTTCCGGGTCGTACGGACCGGTGAGGCCTGAACGGTGAGGCCTAGGGACCAACATGGCGTTTAACGTGTTAAATAAGTCTATTACTCGATGGCCGATTGTACTTTACTCCGTTGGATGCATTATTCTTTCGTTCCTACCACTCGACGCTCTCGTCTGCTCTTCGAGCTGTCCTTTTAACGGTGGGCCTTTTTTGTCCATTCGCCGTTTCTTTTTGAGACTCCGATTATCTCTGCTACCTGCTCGTCATTCACCCCACCTTATGGGTGACAAATTTCTGGCTCTCTTGCGTCCGAATTTCATTGAATTTTTGTCCTAACATCGGAAAGGACAGGCTCAACGTGTTAATACTTAACTCGAAATAGGTATATCCGAGAAATATCTTCGCAGCAGAGATGTTAACCCTTTGCACTCGGCGATTTCTTCGTCACGGAAAAATAGTAATTGCCATAAAGTCGAGGATATTTTTAATAAAACGGTAAATATGAAATCGTATGCAAATTAAGACGCGGAATTGTTTCTCCTCGACATTCCACGCATCGTTGAGTAATTTCGTTAATTTGATATACCAATTAACATCGATCTTTAGAATCTGATTAAATGGCGACTGAAAGGCCATTTCTCGAGTGCAGAGGGTTAATAAACAAACAGAAACTTGGAAATAAAATCGGTGCATTACGATTAACTCTGGAAATTGATAGGAAAGCCGATAATCTTCGTGGGTTTCTCGTGACAAAACCGTCAAAAGCCATCCCCGATATTCCCAAGGAACATCAATTCTCTCCGCTATCCTCCGCAGCTTTTACGATTTCCCCGCAAACACGAAGACGCAGCGTCTTAGGAAGACGCATAAATTCCCAGCAGATCCCGGATAATCCGGTATACTCCCTTTTAATCCGTTCGCGCGTCTGAGTTTCTCAGATCGGAGAACTGTGGTCGAAATCGCGTCGGCGGAAGGAAAATGATGCACGACAGGGAGCGGCGTCCGGCCTGCTCCTGACGTGGTCTGCCTTTTCCCTCCTGTTTCAACAGGCCTATAAAGCATCGTGACAAAAACAAACGGGGGTAACGAGTGGAAAAATCGAGAAATACACGGACCCGGGCGTAATCTCGCATGATTTATGCGGTTTCCGTACGCTGGTCCAGGAGACTCGCTCACAGACGCGTTAAAATTATTTATTTCCCATCGACGCCGTGTCTGTCCAACGATTCCGTGCACGTACAGAGATTGATAGTCTGGATCTCGATCGAACTGTAAACGCCGCGAAGTCTGCAAGGGTTGTTTCCTCGGAATATACGACCGCGTCTCTCGGAGCGGAGAGCGAAATGCTTCGAGAAAGTGGAATCGAGGAGATTAGCGGAATATTTTCGCCTGGCTCGTGAAATCTAAAATCTCACGCGGAAAATTTTACTTCGAGAATTAGCGGGCAAGGGGTAAGAATATCGTGCAGAGACACATAGCGGGGGTAATGCAAATTTGAGGATTCTTTGTTTAAAAAGGAAGTAAAAATCGCAGGAGAATCCGTGGAATAGAGTGTTCCTCGTGTAAGTTTCAGGTGAAATTTTATTTTTCGCGTACTATCCCCGATTATCCTTTCTACCTGCTCGTCTACCCGACTCTTCGTCTGGCTACCCTTGTAAGGGGAGAGAAAAAAGGGGAAGTTTAAGAAGGTCTTCTCGTAACTGTTGGTAAAAGAGTTTCCCGCAACTCGCCGGCGAATTTCATCGGAGTTATTTGAATTTTTGCATAGCTTTCGAAGCTGGAACGCAAAAAATTCCGGGTACTTTCAGACAATTTTCAGACAATGCCTAAATCCCGTCCAAGTTGCTACGAGTCGTCTCTCGAGTCAGTTTGCGTTACGAACTTCCTTCGTGGTGGTTTTATTTCCTCTGGACGATTTTTCCGCGACGAAATCAAGCAACTATTTCTTCGATTTTCGTTTCTTTGGTATTTTCTTTGATTTTTCTTTGATATTTTCTTTGATATTTTCTTCGGTATTTTCTTTCCCTTCTTTTCTTTTCTGCTTCTCTCCTTTCATCGACCGTGTCAAATTTTATCGTTCGGAGTCGGTGTTGTCTGACAACTTTCAAATATCGTTACGCGCAACATGGCGCGCCGTTCAATAAGTCAGAGAAAAGGGTTGCTGGAGGACGGGAGCCATAATGCTTGTAACTTATTTCAACGCCACTCGAGCAACACGCGTACCGTGTTCGAAGTGGTTGTCGAGGAAATAGCCTATTATTTGTAACGAATACAGGCTTGGCGAGATAAAATTGCTTAGGGTGGAGATTGCAAGGGGTTAGATCTGATGGAAGCGTTACTCGATTATAATTCTGTACGTCCTTGGCGTTGTCGTTAAACTTACACCGTGTGGTCGTATGTAAAATCCTCGTTACCTAATTAAAAAAGCAACACTATCGGAATCTGTCGCT